CAATTTTAAATACATACTATACTTTGAAATTTAGATAACACAATAGATTAGTCCAAAGTCTTGTCAATGGACTAGCCAGTAGACCATAGACTGGTACGGTCGATATTGTCTTTAAAAGATCTTTCAGATTCTAAACATCGATTCAAAAATCAACCTTGACAGTACTTTAAGTACGATAACTAAAAACTATTTAAAGATTTTTAATTTCCTTGACCTTTATGAATATAATTTTAAAAAAATATATTTTCCGAGACCCAAACATTTTATAACAAAATATTACAATTAGATTTGTTGTTGTTAAAACTATTGCAATAAAAAATTTTCCTGTAACTACAGTGTGGTAACTAAGAGATTGTAATCGCTACCTATGTAAACACAATACACGTGCCAAGCTTTTTCAATTACCCTACAGTACAATAATACGTTTGAGATGATGTTTGTTCGAGAATTTTTTTAGACAAGCCACGAATCTAGTCGAAAGAATGGACAAAAACTAGTTTATAGACTAATTAATAGACTTGTCCATAGACAGATAATTCAATAGGCTAGTCCATAGATAAGTCAGTAGCTTAGTCCATAGACTAGTCAGTAGACTAATCACTAGACTAATCCATCGACTAGATAATAGACTAGAAAGTAGATTAATCTATAGACTAGTTCATTGACAAGTCCATACACTAGGCCATAGGCTAGTCTATAGTCTTGTCCATAGAGTAGTCCATATATTAGTCCATTGACTAAACAATAGACTAGTCCAAAGACTAGTTCATAGACTAGTACATAGATTAGTTTATAGACTAGTTTATAGACAAGTCCATAGACTAGTCCATTGACTAATCCATAGACTATTCTTTTGTTAAGTTCATAGAATAGTTTATAGACAAGTTCATAGAATAGTTTATAGACAAGTTCATAGACTAGTCTATAGACAAGTTCATAGACTAGTTCATAGACTAGTCTATAGATTAGTTCATAGACTAGTCTATAGACTAGTTCATAAACTAGTAGAAAGACTCGTCCATAGACTAGTTCATAGACTAGTACATAAACTAGTCTATAGACTAGTTCATAGACTAGTAGATAGACTCGTCTATAGACTGGTTTATAGACTAGTCCGCAGACTAGTCCAAAGACTAGTTCATAGACTAGTACATAGATTAGTTTATAGACTAGTTTATAGACTAGTTTATAGACTAGTTTATAGACAAGTCCATAGACTAGTCCATTGACTAATCCATAGACTATTCTTTGGTTAAGTTCATAGAGTAGTTTATAGACAAGTTCATAGACTAGTCTATAGACAAGTTCATAGACTAGTTCATAGACTAGTCTATAGACTAGCTCATAGACTAGTCTATAGACTAGTTCATAGACTAGTCTATAGACTAGCTCATAGACTAGTCTATAGACTAGTTCATAGACTAGTCTATAGACTAGTTCATAGACTAGTCTATAGACTAGTTCATAGACTAGCTCATAGACTAGTCTATAGACTAGTTCATAGACTAGCTCATAGACTAGTCTATAGACTAGTTCATAGACTAGTTTATAGACTAGTTAATAGATTAGTCCATAGACTAGTTCATAGACTAGTGCATAGACTGGTCCATAGACTATTTCATAGACTACTTTATAGACTAGTCCATTGACTAATCCATAAACTAGCTCATAGACTAGTCCCTAGGCTGGTTCATAGACTCGTTCATAGACTACTTTATAGACTAGTCCCTAGACTACCTCATAGACTAGTCAGTACACTAGTAAGTAGGCTAGTGCATATACTAGTAGATACTTAAGATTTCACTTAGACTGTTCTTCAAATTATTGTAGGGTATCAGACATGACTAACTGACCAATCTTTTATATAAATTTTTTTTTATTATATTTTATATTTTACTCCCAGCCTTTAGAGAAGGGTCTCGACATGAAAAGGGTAAATGTAATGACATTAAAAATGATACGATACTCATGATATAAGTTTTGCATTTATTTTTTTTTAATTGTACGTAAATAGGCTTTTGATAGGGATGGACTGAGTGTTGAGGAGGTATTGTAGTAGTAAGACTGTAGCGGTGTGGAAGGAGTGCTGTTGTTTGGGTTTATAAAAAAATTTCTAATATACATATATTTTTTTCAAATGTTTTCTAATCTTTTAATAATATAGTAAGTATTATTTAAAGCAAACACTATAATCATTTTTTTTTCTACACGAGCAGAATTAAAGTATGTATGCAATTGCATTTTGTATTGTTTGATAAATTGTTTTTGCATTTAGTATTTCTTTGTGTAAATTAATTTGTTTAAAATAGTTGTCAGAAGTGATTACATACACATTTGTGTCGGTCATATTTCTGTCATGCAAGTATGACAGACAATATTTTTTAAATTGTCTAGAAGGTATGAGCTTTTTGATGGATTTTAATGTAATTGTAGAAATTTAAATATTGAGTTATTAGAGGGATGGGGACAATTTTTAAGTAATGCTTCAATGCGTGACATTTCCTTTACATTGAATCTTTACTCGATCGGAGGTTTAAACTTTAAGTAACATTTCAATAAAATACAAAATAAAACCAAACCATATTTAAGTAGTTGAAACATCCAGTTTAAATTCTTAAAATCGGCCAGATACAAAACATGTTTCTATAATTGTAACAAACATAAGGATTGGGGAAAAACATAAGATGCAATTGCTCAGGTACTAAGTTTCTTATGCAGAAAAAAACTTTAAACAATTGTAGCAATGAAATTACTTACAGACAGCTACTAACAATATAATGAAAACAACACAATCCCACCAATGGACATGTGAAGTTGAAATGTTTTTGGCATCTTTTTTTGTATAAAAAAGTTAGAAATTTTTCCAACTACATACGTGTGTACTTGTGTTTTGATATTATTTAGTACAAATGTACAACTATTTTTGAATGGAATATGTACGAGTGTGAATGAAGTTAACATCCGATGATGTTGATAATGATTAAGTTATAAAACCACTTATTGTCAGATACAAGTTAGTTCAAACTAACAAGTTTGTTATCACTGCTATGGGAAGCCTTTAAAGGTATTAAATCCTCAAAGATCTAATAAAAAAGGAACATTAGCTAGTCTCTGGTCTAGTATATTGACTAGTCTATGGACTAATCTATTGCCTAGTTTATTTACTATGGACTAGTCTAATGACTGGACTAGACTACGGAGTAGTATATGGGACTAGTCTATGAACTACCTCATGGACTAGTAACTAGTTGGTAGACTAAAAGGACAAGTGGATACTTTAGGCTGTAGGCAAGAGTGCTGAGCATTCTAGGCATAACAATAGCGATTCCATTACTCGTGGAACAATTACTTTAAATTATAACATTCTTTGTCAGATCTGCAATTAGTTTATAGAAAATTTTATTTAAACATGATGTTAGTTTGTTATTATTATTTCTAGTGGTTTAGAAAATGTGTAAGTTTGAACCAAAAGAAAAACCACATGCAATTGCATTCGTTTTTGTAGGAATTGTTTGTTAAGAAAACACTCCCCCACAGAACAAAGTGTACTGTAAGAAGCCTTTTATGCTGACCTCATAATATTTCAAAATTTCACAAATCAATTAAAACATTGGGATCGGAAAGTGAGTTCCTAAGTTTTCGTTCCTAACTTTTTTTGGAAAAACCGTTTTTTCAAATCATTAAAAGAAAACACAATTTTCAACCTAGCCTCGCATGGTTTACGAAATTTTATTAGTAGTGCAAATGATTGCGGTTAGATTACCGTTATCCTTTGGCATACACTTTCAAATGAAAAGACTAAAACCAACTATAAGAAGACAAGCAAATGACAAGACACACAGTAGCAACTTTTAAAACAAACAATAAACATTATTATGGTCGACTATCTGACTATTCGACTATTTTGTGAAATGAATAAGTTTTGGCTTGTAGAGGAACAAATAAAAACATTTATACATATTAGAGTTTCTGAGCGTTAAAAACTTCCCTATTATATTCATCGGGAAATTATATATCTTAAACAGAGAACTTAATTCAATATTTAGTTGAAATCTTCTGGTATTTGGAATGATTTGTTTTCGTCAGATAGTAATAAACAAAGTCCGAAAAATTAGAAACCCTAATGCTATGTTGGAATTTAAATTGAATTGCAGATACATACATGCAAATAACTTAATAAATACTTAGTTGCAACAATTTTCTTTTGTCTCAAATATACATATTTTCCTGTGGTTATATTTTCCTCCTCCAAAGAGAAATATATAGATAGGTAGATAGATAGATAGATAGATAGATAGATAGATAGATAGATAGATAGATAGGTGGATAGATAGATAGATAGATAGATAGATAGATAGATAGATAGATAGATAGATAGATAGATAGATAGATAGATAGATAGATAGATAGATAGATAGATAGATAGATAGATATATAGATAGATAGATAGATAGATAGATAGATAGATAGATAGATAGATAGATAGATAGATAGATAGATAGATAGATAGATAGTAATATTTTCCTCCTCCAAAGAGAAATATATAGATAGGTAGATAGATAGATAGATAGATAGATAGATAGATAGATAGATAGATAGATAGATAGATAGATAGATAGATAGATAGATAGATAGATAGATAGATAGATAGATAGATAGATAGATAGATAGATAGATAGAGATAGATAGAGAGATAGATAGATAGATAGATAGATAGATAGATAGATAGATAGATAGATAGATAGATAGAGATAGATAGATAGATAGATAGATGATAGATAGATAGATAGATAGATAGATAGATAGATAGATAGATAGATAGAGATAGATAGATAGATAGATAGATAGATAGATAAATAGATAGATAGATAGATAGACTGACAGGTAAATATATAGATAGCTATTGTATATTCTATTCGCCGTCCGTCTTTAACGGTTGGTCTTTTACTGTGTGGTGGTCTTGCAAATTATTTTCTTCCATAATTCATTCATTAACACAATTTACTCTTGTAATATTTTATAAAACTTTAATTTACAAAATGCACTCTAACAAAATCACAATGTTTTTTACTTAATTTACTAATATTCCACTTCATAACTAACTTTCACCACTAATCCTTCGGCTTCTCCACCAACTGTTCCTTTTCCGCAATATACATCAAAGCCAATTTAATTTCTGTCTTCTTCTTAATACTCTCCTCTCGCAGCACATCACATTCTTTATTCAATATTTTAATCTTAAAATCTGCAAATTTTAAAGCTTCCTCCAGGGTAAATTGTATAAAGACACCTTTGCCTATGTCCACTAGAATAGTATTTAAATCGTTGACCTTGGCCTCCATGAAAATATTACCACCAATATTCATTTGAGTTTTATAGCCCTCTTCCAAGTTATCACGCATGGTTTCGATGGTGTTTTTGAGTTGTATATATTCCATAATTTCCTCGTTGTAAACATTGATGTACTGTTCCAAATGTTTGAGATCCTCTTTGAGAAAGTCATTGATAAAAACTTCTACGTTTTCGGGTGCAAAACGGGACATGGTATTTTAAGGAATATAATTTGTTTCCAAAAATTAATTTTATAAAAAGATTTAATTTAAAATTCTATAAATTCTTCCAAAACCTGTTGAAATTTGTTAGAAATTTGTTTTGTTTTTCTTGCAATTGCCGGCCATATGTTTTTGCACAAATGTCAAATGTTTTGTTTACATTTATTGTGAATTGTTAGCATGTGTTTATATTGCATTCACAATTGTTAAAACAATACTCATTTTCTAAAAGTGTTGCCTCCCACATGTAGGTGGCACTAGGTTTGTTGTACTAAAAGGTTTAGGTCTTTACTAGAAAATGTTAAATACTGCAGCCTGAAAATATACATATTTTTATTATAGACAATTATAGTATTATATATTTTTAACCGGTGTCATAGAGATATAGTATATCCGTTTCCTGTGTGAACTAATAGACATGAAGAAAATACACAAGTTTACAAATAACAAATTTAAAATGTTTGCTTAAAATATAGATTTTTAAACAATTTTTTTTAAATTATAAATACAGTTTAAAAAATATCCCAGTTAATAGACCCCGACAAAAAGAATATGTTCCATTTCATGGTTCTGATTTCACTAATTCTGCAAATCATCTTAGAAGTGAATTTCTCCAGGTTTGGAAATTTCATAATAATGCCTGGCAGATAGTAAACTGAAAAGACATTTCAGACTTAATACGTTTGAGTTAAAAGTCTTTAGAGATACTTGCACAATATCACATGTCTAGAAAGTAAGGCGGTTTTCACGCCCTCACTCGGACTGTACTTTTTGAGTTGATAAGGGTTTTATGAGTATTTGGAAAAATAATAATAATTTAAACTACAAACGAATAGATTGTCAATACTATAAATTGATCTGTGATCGACTATAGACTAATTTATTATTAACTGACCTTAAATATGGGCTGTGTAATGAAATACGATAAAAACTATAGACTGATCTACTTTTTAGACTAGACTGATGTCTAATCAAGACAATATATTGATTTGTAGTCAAAACTTTAGTCAAAACTATAATCAAGAATGATCTATATACTTATTTATAGTCAAGACTATATAGTGATCTATAGTCAATCTATTGAGAGTGATCTATAGAGAATGGTCTATATATGGTCAAGACTAGAGAGTGATCCATAGTCAATACTAAAGACTGATCTTTAGTCAAGACTATAGAGTGATCTATATTCAAGATTATAGCGTGATCTATAGTCGAAACTAGAGAGTGGTCTATAGTCAAGCATAAAGACTGATCTATAGTCAAGACTAGAAAGTGATCTATGTCAATACTAAAGACTGGTCAAGACTATTGACTGATCGATAGTTAAGACTATAGAGTGGCCTATAATCATGACTATAGAGTGATCTATAGTCAATACTATAAAGTGATTTATAGACAAGACTATGGAGTAATCTGTAGTCAAGACTATAGAGTGATCTACAGTCGAGACTATAGAGTGATCTATAGTCAAGACTAGAGAGTGATCTATAGTCAAGACTAGAGAGTGATCTATAGTCAAGACTAGAGAGTGATCTATAGTCAAGACTATAGACTGATCTATAGTCAATACTAAAGACTGATCTATAGTCAATCTATTGAGAGTGATCTATAGAGAATGGTCTATAGTTAATACTATGAAGTGATATATAGTCAAGCACAGAGAGTGATCCATAGTCTATACTAAAGAGTGATCTTTAGTCAAGACTATAGAGAGATCTATATTCAAGATTATAACGTGATCTATAGTCGAAACTAGAAAGTGGTCTATAGTCAAGACTATAAACTGATCTATAGTCAAGCATAAAGACTGATCTATAGTCAAGACTAGAAAGGGATCTATGTTAATACTAAAGACTGATCGATAGTCAAGACTATAGACTGATCGATAGTCAAGACTATAGAGTGGCCTATAATCAAGACTATAGATTGATCTATAGTCAATACTATAAAGTGATTTATAGACAAGACTTTAGAGTGATCTGTAGTCAAGACTATAGAGTGATCTACAGTCAAGACTATAGAGTGATCTACAGTCGAGACTATAGAGTGATCTATGGTCAAGACTAGAGAGTGATCTATAGTCAAGACTAAAGAGTGATCTATAGTCAAGACTAGAGAGTGATCTATAGTCAAGACTATTGAGTGATCTATAGTCAAGACTATAGATTGATCTATATTCAAGAATATACAGTGATCTATAGTCAAGACTAGAGAGTGATCTATAGTCAAGACTATGTATGGAGTGATCTACAGTGAAGACTATACAGTGATCTACAGTCAAGACTATAGAGTGATCTATAGTCAAGACTATAGATTGATCTGCAGTTAAAACTATAGAGTGATCTGTAGTTAAACTAGAGAGTGATCTATAGTCAATACTTTAAAGTAATCGATAGTCAAGACTAGAGAGTGATCTATAGTCAAGACTAGGGAATGATCTATAGTCAAGAGTATGGTGTGATCTATAGTCAAGACTATTGAGTGATCTATAGTCAGGAATATAGAGTGATATATAGTCAGGAATATAGAGTGATCTATAGTCATGACTATAGAATGATCTATTGTCAAGACTATTGAGTGATCTATAGTCGAGAATATTCAGTGATCTATAGTCAGGAATATAGATTGATCTATAGTCAAGACTAGAGAGTGATCTATAGTCAAGACTATAGAGTGATCTATAGTCAAGACTATAGAGTAATCTATAGTCAAGACTAGAGTGTGATCTATGATCAATACTACATAAGTATATACTACTCTTTAGTCAAGACTATAATCTGATCATAAGTGATCTTTAGTCAATATTATTGACTGAACTACTTGAATAGTTTCATACAAACCCTTATATGTTTTCATTTGCTCAATAAACTCTTGATAATAATCCAAGTTTTTCAACCCATCGAACTAGATTTGGCAACTCATTGACTAAAGTAATTTACGAAAACAGAAATTTAAACTATTTCATTTAAAAACAAATTAAGCTCAACACGCAATTTAAACTCATAAACTACTTCTATAAATTCCACAACAAATCGTTATTAACCCACATTAGTTAACAAACAAAGGAATATTAAACTAGTTACAGCCTAAAACGCTTAAAAACGTTTAAATGACATTACATTTGAAACGCACTCTAATCATATTTGCCACTTTAATGGTGATCATGCAAATAACTAAAGGACAGGTGGGTTAATAATCATACAATGTATAGCGATTAATCGGCTATAGAACAATAAAAACCACATGTGTATCAAATACAGGATGAACCTCCAGCAGAATCCGAAGAAGAAGATGACTCTTCCTCAGAGGAAACTGTAGAAGATTCGAATGAGGCACGTAAAAGAAGACGTCGATCTGTAGAGACTTCAGTAGAAGGAGCCGATGTTAGTGAAGGAGAGCCTGCAGCTGCAGCACCAGCTTTTCCTGGCATACCAGGTTTACCAGAACTACCCGCTTTGCCACCAATACCAGGTCTACCAGATCCCCAAACTATAATGCAAATTGCCGAAATTCTAACTAGTGTGGGACAACAAGTACTGCCCATTTTGGTTTCAGGTAATTCAGGTGTTTCTAATTTAGTAACGAATCGTGTAGAGCGTGATAGGAAGTTTTTAAAAGATTTCAAAACTGAAATCGATGTTTTGACAGAGACTTTAAAAAAGAAGAAGAAATAAATGATGTTTAAACAATGTAAATTTGTTATATTTTCTGTAATAAATTTATTATATTGCTTTTATTTGTTATATGTATATCTTTTGCTTTTCCAGGTCTGGGTTAAAAAAATAACGACCGCAAGTTTTATAAACTTTGTTTAAAGAATTAATAAAAGATTTAAAATGTTTTGTTCAATTATGAATATGTAGATAATAAAGATCTTGTAAGTATTTTAAAGTGAAGTGGTGGCCTCCGGTAGGTTAGTGGTTAGTGTTCTAGTCTGGTAGACCGGAGGTGGTGGGTTCGATTCCCACCTGAGGCACTGGTTAAGGAGCGCACAACAGGCCCGATAGAGGCCTAGGTGTATTTCTTCGGATTTGATGTATATACATCCTCCTTTCAAACTAACTAACTACTAACTAACTAAAGTGAAGTGTATCTGTGTTTAGTAAACGCTTTTAGTGAATGTGCAATTAAGCTTTTCGGATTATCAGATTCAGTTTGAGATTTTGACCAAAACACGGCGGTTAGAGAGGAAACTGGGTGAAATACAAGAGGATGTAAGAGGAAAATATCCGAATACTTTCTAATAGTTAACCAGATATCAAATATATATCTGACGTCTTTATGACAGCAGCTCTGGTCCCCAAATCTCTTAACGAGATGATGTATCATTCGAACTTGGAGATACTCAGGGTACCAGATTTCCATTATTAATATTGCGGATGAACTGGATAAAACTGCATCTTACCTCCATCAAAGAGAAATTTACTCATTAGTCTGGATTCTACTTTTATGTCAATTATATGAAAGGAACTTTATGAATCTGCTCAGACTAGATGTTCATCCATGATCTATTTCTTGATATACAAGTAATGACCTTGTAACTAGGTTGCTGAACTTGAAAAGGCTTTCATAAGGCATGCTAGAAGATGAATTCTCCTCCTAAATGACTTCTTAGAAGTTGTAAAAGCGGAGTCCTTTGGAGGATCTCTTTAAAGTTGGTTCGTGAATTCGAGTTTCAGATTGTCTCGATTCTCCTTAGACGTCCTGGGTAATGGATCTAGCTATGATTCCTTTCGGGTAACTCAAAGGGACCGATCATTGGTTAATACTTACAGCTTTTTCCGATTCTAGAACAGTTACCTTGAAGAGGATTTCGTGAGAGATTCTGTTGAGTTGTGATTGCAGGGAAGCATGATAGAGGATGAAGTCTCCCCATTAATAACTTCTTCGGAATTTGTAAAAACAGAGATGAATTAGCTTTTACCGACTCTATAACTGTTATATTTAACAGTCCTATAGTGCATCTCTTTAGAGTCATGAATGGAAAGATTGAATCGTGAGTTCGAGATTCAGGTTGTTTTGGACATCCTGTCCTGGGAATTACATTAAGCTATGATTCGTATCGTTTAACACAATTGATGAATACTTTCAGCTTTTTCCGACCATAGAATTGTTACTTTTAAGAGGTTTTCATGAGAGATGCTGCTTAGTTGTGTTGGCAAGGCATGCTAGAAGATGAAGTCTCTTCCTAAATGAGTTCTTTGAGTTGTAAAGACTCTATAATATCGGTGGATTCAGGTTGTTTTGGACATCGATCTATAATTCGTATCATTGATGAATATTTTCAGCTTTTTCTGACTCTAGAACTGTTATTTGTTACAGTACTGTAGTGAATCTGTCTAGAGTTACAAACCGAAAGATTGATTCGTGAATTCACGATTCAGGTTGTTTCGGGGATTCATAGATATTGGATTCAGCTATGATACGTATCGGGTAACGCAAAGGAACCAATCATGATCCTAGAGAGTCGACGATTTGAGCGATTGCCTCTATAACCTAATACATATTAATGCTGAACTCTATTAGCAAGAAAATTAAGATAAATGTCACAAATAAGTTCGTTCCCTTTCGTACCTGGTTAACGTATCAAACAAAAATACTAATTTTGTAGGAACAGGATCCTCTCTCTTATTTTCAGTACGTCACATTCGCTGTCACCAACTAAATCAAGAAGAAAGCCTGTTAATGACAAAGATAATGTTCCAGCATTTCACTATAATTCTAAGGAGGCTTCTCATTCTGCTCTCACTACATGATTTTAGTGGTCCTACAAACTATTATATTATTTTAAGTGGTCGTTCGTTAAGTTAGTTTTAATTAACATCACGCTGTCGGAAAATATTTCATCTCTTATTGGCGCCATATTCAATCCAATATATTCAATACATTCTACTATAGTACGGACTTCCACCTGGAAGCTATAGCAACAGATTCCCGCTAAGGTTTGCTCTAAAGTTCTGCTTGACCACGATCTGACGATCTGTTGGTTGTGCGTATATCCAGCAAACGGCGTTTGACAATTAGACGCCTTGAATATTGCATGCGTTTCCATCGAAAGAATATCCAGCGTTATTTGTTTTAAAAAGGCAATTGTAGGGAAGGATCATTGCAGGGTGGAGGGTCTCTCCGATATACAGTTTCATATGGTCGGAGATGTCCGACTATCAGAAAAGATGGCGTTTTATTGATTTTGTCATTCCGTTTGTAAGACATCTATTCACGTACGTTTGTCTGTTCGTCTGAAATATTGTAAGATTTGTTCTCGGTCTTTATTGACTTAAGACCCTTTTCCGAAAATATTGATCCTGATCATATATTTTTATTTAGTATTTTAATAGGTGGGTATATAAGATTCGGCATACCCGAATATAACACTCTTAGCGGTTTTACCGGCATTTCAGTCATATCAATAATAGAACCCTTTGAAAGCCATATATTCTCCCTCCACTGCATAACCTTTTCAGCCTAGAAATCTATTTATAACACATAAACAATCATTATTAATACCAACTGATACGTTGCAAGAAGACTTTAAAAAGAAATTAAAGAAAAAAAAAAAAAACTCTATTTAAATGATATCACATGGGGTGTTCCTGTTTAATAGAAAATTGATAAGAAAACTAAAACCCTAAAAAAGGGTTCTTTATTAGAAACACAATTGGTTGGCTGGCAACCAAAATGTTACCCACAGAAAAACCCTTTCCCTTCAAACGTGTCAGAAATTGTGTCATATTCATTCGTACAGCAACCAACAACCCATACTTCCGTAATAACGTTGCAGTAGTCGTTATATTTTAAAGTTAATAAAAATAAAGATTTTAATATTATGATATATTTAATGGTAACATACCGAATTTAAAATACTTTTAAATTCCTAAAAGTAACAAACGAAATTTTGTATACATACATTAATATTCTTATGATGCGATTATGAGGAATACATATTTTTTTTATTTTTTTCATATTTTTATTTAAGTCATAATCTAAACAAGGAGTGATTAAAATTTTACGGTCGTACAAATGTCAAAACCATCAGGGGCGATACTATAAAATTTTATATTTTTGTTATTATTTGCATTCTTTTTTTGTAAGGAAGACGATAACAAATGTTGCGTCCGTTCATCCGTCTGTCTGTTAGGCGTTTTTTGTTCGTTATTTTTTGTTTGTTTAAGAATAAAGACCATGAAGAACATTCATTCATACTTTTTTTGTAATAAAAGAATTGTTCCATACGCATTTAATTTGAGATATATACACATATACATGTACATATGTAAATAAGTATGTTTGCCTGCGCTGTATGGCTATTGAAGTTACAGACACTCCAAGGGGTCGTCGTTTAGGTTGTTTGATTTTATACATCATATGGTGCAAAGTGTGAGAGAAAGAATGTTAAGCATACAATGGTCGAACGAGGGCAGTATGAAAATGTTATTGGTAGATAATGAAAGAAAGGCAAGAAAGTCTATTTGTTCCACTTTGTCAGGGAAAGTTTATAAAATATTTGGTCCATTCGTCGTTTGCACACTCTATAATATTGGACAGACCTCAATTTTGAGAAAACTTTTCCTAACCACCCTCGTTAATTACTCCACACACTCCACAAACATTCATTGAAATAAAACATTTCAATGGTTTCGTTGCACGTTTAACAAACAAAACTGTATACAGCAGCAACAACAAAAGCAATAGCAACCAATAGCAATATGAAAACAAAAACTACTTCAATAAAAGATAACAACCACTTGCGACATGCGTTTCGCATTTAATGTTCTTATAATGTTTCCTTTTCCTTTACTCTACCAATATTTTTGTACTTCTTTGTTTTCCGAAATGTTCTTTAATACAAATTCCAAATACATTCAACATGATTATCGCTGTTGCTGTTATATCTTTTGTAACTGTTATAGGTGTTCGGTTTTATATGGAGGACTTATAAAAAGCCTGAATTTTTCTTTTATCATATTCAACTTCCTTTGTGAATTGCTAAAATTCCCTCCCACGTTTTATTTGTTGTGCTTGTGCATGTTAATTATCTACAGTTTATTTTCGGTAATATAGATTCAGTCATAGTTACGTGAATTTCTTGCAATAAGTAAAAGTTTTTCTTACTTAAAAATCTTGGCATTCGGGCATAATTATTATTACAATTGCGTAAGTGCTCTAACTATTCTTATTGTAGCGTTCCTCAAATTCATTCCATACCAATGAATTGATTTGAAAAGAATTGTTTTTGTTTTCTTTAGACTATTTAAAACATGTTTAAACTGTTATGAAGGTTTAATCCAATTTTACCCTCAGAAAACGACCATTAGCTAAGCACGAAATAGCATCAACAGCATATAAGGACCAACCATATCATTTCATCTTGGCTATTGTTGTTGTTATTGGAGATATAAAAGGCAACTGATTCCTTGAAACATGTGGGTTCTTAAAAAGCAGCATGTTGTATTTAGCAAAACTGTGTACGACTATATCATTATAAAATTGTGCAAATCCTGCCCAGCAGTTTTATAAGGAGCCAATGTATCCTCTAGACTACAAACTAGACTATATACTAGACTACAGGCTATAGACTAGACTATAGACTAGACTATAAACTAGACTATAGACTAGACTATAAACTAGACTATAGACTAGACTATAGACTAGACTATAGACTAGACTATAGACTAGACTATAGACTAGACTATAGACTAGACTATAGACTAGACTATAGACTAGACTATAGACTAG